GAGCCATTGTGCTGGGCAGCTTCCTGGATAGTGGGCCTTCGGAAAACACTTGAAATAATGTTTTTTTTTTTATGCGTAGATACCGGTCAGTGGCCCTTACAACTCTACATTGACATCATGTTCAGTCATGATGTCAATGTGTGTGTGTGTGTGTGTGTGTGTGTGTGTGTGTGTGTGTTTGGAAAAATTGGGACTTTTTTAAAATGCCGTGGGACGCAGGACAAATTGTTGAAAATCGGGATGTCTGGTCACCTTAGTGTGTGTATGTGTGTGTGTTTTAATTCTAAGAAAAACATGAGTTCCTTGTATAAAGTGTAATCGAGAAAGGAAAGAGGAATTATCAGATCCTCCAAATTATTTGAGGGAAGTTAATGTTTTTTGATTTTTTTTTTTTAAAAAGGAGGAACCTCTGTGATTCAGAAACTGCTGGTTTAAGGAAACCTTTGGAGCAGCGGTCGCCAACTGGTGGTCTGTGAGGTCTGGAAGGTTGGTGACTGCTGGTCTAGGAGATGCAGTGCTCTGGAGAACGGTTCACAGAGGTCACAGTTAGGGGGAACGTATTGAATGCCAGGCACTGTGCTAAGCTGTCTGTGTACATCTTCTCGTGCAATTCTCCTAATAGCCCAGCAAGGTGGGTGCGCGTAAAAAGAAAGCATGGCTTAGATCTGGGCCCTGCTGTCCCCGGTGTGTGAGCCCGGAGCCTGTGCTGTGTCAGGCCATGGCCTTGGACTTGGTACTTCAGGCACCTTCCTGCCTTGATCGTTTATGAAGGTGACTTTGTAACAAAAGCCAGAAAGGACAAGCTGGGCATAGGCTGTGAAAATGAAAGGAAAGGCCTCTATGGGGTTGTTTTCACCAGTGGCAGGATGTTACCAGTGTTTTCGTTGATACTGAATATCCAGGGAGTTCTAACACTATGCCAGATTTGGGCAACGAAATTACTTTCCGTCAGAGCCAGTGAATTCACAAAGCGAAATTCTGTCCTGTGTGTGAAACCCAGACCATGTTGGCTGGGCAGGGCCCAAATCCCAAGGGAATGTCAGAGAGGCTCCTGGGTGCAGGATTGAAGGTGGCACCCGCCCCTTGCACCCGTCTGACTCCGAGAGTGAACACCACCCACACACTGTGCTGCTGGGTCTCTTGCCTCTCTCTAGTCTGAATTTTTACAGACAGTAGATACTGTGACCAGGAACTTGTTTCATATGTATTTCTATCCAATAGTAGAGATATGCTCCTAGGATGAAAAATACCTCTGATACCCAAAGGATAATCAGAAATAGGAAATTAAGAATTACACGTTACCCAAAGTGACTTGTCACTAAATATGCAAATCTGAATGTGAGTAGTTAGTTATGTTTTAAGTCAGGAAGAAAAGGGAAAGATTAATTACTAGAGAGCCCCTCCACCCTCTTACTTTTCTACCCCCCTCTTCCCCCACCTCCCTGTACACGTACACAATCCAGTAGCTGAGGCCTCAGTCCTTCCCCCACGTTCTCAGGCAGACGCTGCTGGCTTTGGGGACTGCCTTGGCAGCCAGGGACGATGCAGGAAAAGGCCCAGACGCAGCAAAGAGCCCTGATTCAAAATGCAGAGGAAAGAAACTCCTGGAGACGTGTATTTCCGGAGACTCACGATAAAGAACCTTAAAAACCTCTTTAAGTATAGCTTTTCCCAGTAACGCGTAACATATGTCCCTTCCTTAGAAATTGGGTTCGAACGGTTTTTCTTTTTTGTTGTTGTTTGGTTATCATGACGTTTCCGGACATGAACACAAACCACGGGCCTGTTGGAGGCATTCCTCTGCGCGTGGGCACTCGCTGCGAGCCTGGTGCACCAGACTGGGCTTGTGGCAGAGCGATAGAGCTGTCTCTGCCTGGAGGCACCTCAGCCTATTTGTATATAAATAGACACACGCAGAAGAAGGAGCCCGAGCCAGATGGTTTGGCTGCTTTTCCCTCCACAGGCACACGCGAGGATCGCGCAATGGCAACACAACCCAATCCTGAAAAGTGTTGTGGAAACAGTTGGTGCTGACAAACCTGTAGGCCACGTTCAGATTTGGTGCTGGAAACGTGCTCTGCCTTCACAAGTTCGTCTGAGGATCGTTCCCATCATTCACCCCAGGGCAGGACTGATGGAGAGGATGCTCATTCCTGTTTATCTAAATGAGAAGCGTGGCGGGTGGGCAGGGCCTTAGCTGGGGAGCCAGAGCCAGGACTTCTCCGCCCAGGCCGGGCCTTGCCCAGGCTGTTCCTCTGGCGAGTCCTCATTCCCCGCTCCTTGGGAGGACCTTGTCCTGTGACAGGAGGGTCGAGAGGGCATGTTCTGTAAGAGGCGGGATTCTCTACAAATGCACAGAATTTCATTTTGACCCGTTAGTTCTTCCTTCTCTGTGGTCTTAGGAGCCTCTCCACTGTGAAGGGATCCAGTCAGTAGAGGAGAGAGTAGAGCAACCTAGATTGGACCCTGGGTGACACGGGAGGCAGTGATGTAATTTGTGTAGAACTGGTTTTAATGCTACCCTGGTTGGGAAAGGGACAAGGTGCTCTCCTGGTCTTCTTGCTGCCAGCTGACCACTTCCCCTCAGTCACAGTGACGCTCCATCTTCTTTTCCAAGCCCCAGAGCTCAGCCTTCATACAGCTCCTCTTCCTGGTGCTCAGTTGGTCTCCTCTCTTTCAAGATGCACACGACTCCCAAATGCCTATCCCCAGCCCTCAGCAGCTCCCCAGCACTCTGGTCTCCTATATCCAACCATCTGCCCTCTGTCCCCACAGATGGCCAATCAGCTCCTCAAACTTAGGCGGCAGACTGCTATCCTTTTTTCCTCCTCTTCTCTTCCCGACCCAGTCCTCCCCATTCGAGGGGCTGCATGTTATGTCAGCACATCCTGTAGATCTCTGCTCAGCTGACACCGCTTCAGAGAGGCCTTCTCTGCCCATCCCATCTGAAGTTCTCCCCAAGTCTTAATCTGCACCCCGCCCCTTGCTTCTCTCCCTCGTCCTTGTGCCATTAGAATGGGGATCTTACCAGTCTTGTTTATCATCACTGTTTCCAGTGCCTCAGAGGATGCCAGGCTTTAATGGGGGCCGAATAAATATTTATTGAAGGAAGGAATAAGTGAATGAAATAAAAAGAAGAAAGAAAACAAAAGGGAGGAAGCAGTTTAACATATAGAATTTGCTAAACACTGAGGTAGAACAAAAGGAATTGGTGAAGTTCTGGAGTTCTGGGAATGCTGTCTCTTAAGTTTTTTTTTTTTTTTTTTTTTTTTTTAAATCTAATTCATAAATTCAGTATGAATGTTCTTTATGCCTTCATTGAGGGCTAAAGTAGTTTAGGGGTCTTGAGGAAAGATGGAAATGCTTAGGCAGTTCTGGAGTCTCATCGTAGTAGTTAGTAAAGGTACTAAGATTGAGTTCAGCCTAATGTTGAGCTTGAAGATTTTTAAATGCGTAAATAGGTTTTCAAAGTGCAACAGAATGTTGTTATTACTCCCGAGCCATCGAATCCCATGCTGAAGTCGCCATCTCTTTCCCTCTGCTGGCCATGAAAGTGCTGGGCAGGAAAGGCCGACAGCCTGTTTCCAGAGCTGCCCTTTGCAGGCCTTGGCATCTGACTGGAAGGATGGATTGCTAAGAGGCCTTTGGAACTGGCTTCTGAGCATTAACTCCTCCCGCCAGGAGCTCAGTAAATGACCCCTTCCACCTGCTGCCATTCAAACTTGGAATTCGGTCACATCACTGGTTCCCGCTCCTGCTGGGTGGATTTTATAATCAGTCTCAAGGAGAAAGAAAGGCGAGGCAAGTTGCTTCGCTGCTCTGCCAGCCTCTGTTTGCAGGGACAGTTCACTGCGTCCAAATTAAACTTCACGCGGTGCCATTTCCCCCCTGTGCACATTGATGAGTTGGGTAGCCTCACGCTTATGAAACATTGCTTGCTATTCTGTGGCCAGAATCTAGATGGTGAACTTGTGGAATTTTAGAAATGAAATCCCCACTGGCCACGGCAAGGTAAATAAAGAATCTACAGTGCCATCTGCTGGCATTTTAGGGAAATGCAGCAAGAGCTGTCTAGTAGAAGCAACTCTTAGAAAATGGGAAAGATCCAAAGTGCAAACCTGAGGATAAATTACTCAAAGTGTGTGATCATTTGAAGAACGTAGATGCAAACAATGAAAGAATAGTAAGTCTGTGGGTTTACTGAAGAAGTGATTAATTACCTGGTTTGGGGCCGTGTTGGTGGTCCAGGTTATTGGGGTTTATCTGTATCAGCAGTCAAACTGGCAGCCAGGCTGGGGCAGGGCGTGGAGCAAATCAGATGCCCAGACATGTCCTGAGTAACTTGGACACATCTTTAAAAACATTGAATTATTTGCCATCACTTAAAAATGTGGAGCTCTGGTTTTTAAAAAATGCAGACTTCTGGCTCTTAGAAATTGTAGCAAGATGCATAGTGCATTTGCCAATTGGCAGCTGCACTGAAGGACCTACATACTGGCTGCCCTCTCTTTTTGAGGGGCATCCAGACTGGCGTGGCTTGGGGGTCCCCCACTCCCTTAATGATTTCTCCTACAACTGGCAATCTTGCTTACTCCTGGCCTGAGTGGCATTTGTGGTCCTAGGCCTATACGTTTGTTATTATTTGCCTTCCTTTTCCCATTTGCACAAGAGACTTCCCAATGGCAGTCATTTAATGGGTAGCTAATATTATAGTTCACAGGAATGGAAGATAAGCTACTTCAACGATCGCCGAGTGGAGTCCATCCCCTTCATTTAATAGAGGTCTTACCTGGATTGAGTCTTTAACAAATGTTGACGAATGGTACACGAGTGTGTTTCTAGAAGGGCAGTTGCTGGCTAGCGCAAGCCATTGGCAAATACCTTATAAAGGCTCTGCTGGCTCTGCTGAGTAATATGGATGTTGGCTCAACCTCCTGGGATTGTGCATTCCCCCTCGAAGGCAGGGCTTCCTGGTAACCAGACTTGTTTTTCTTTTCTAGGAACTCTCTTCACAAGTCAAACTCAGAAGACAGCGCTGTAGGTCAGTACCCCGTGTCTTGGTTTATCTATTTTAAATGAACTATTTTCTTGTAACACTTCACAGAATATATAAGCAGGCGAAAATACAAAGGCCACCAAGAAGACTTCCGCCCTGAAATAAACACTGTTAAAGATATTGATGTTCAACTTTCCTCTGATTTGAAACTTTTGAGTCAAAGATTGTGCACAATGAGGGTGTTAAAGATTTCCTGTTTCCCTGATGATAAAAATTCACTCTTGATGCAGTGACGCTTTTTTCTGTTTGGGTCAGAGGGAGCCTTGCAAAGCAATCTTGATTAGGAGCATGAATGCTCACATGAGGTTTTTTTTTTTTTTTTTTTTTTATAATATATATATTTTATTGATTTTTTAACGGAGAGGAATAGAGAGTGAGAAACATCAGTGAGAGAGAATCATCGATCAGCTGCCTCTTGCACACCCTCTACTGGGGATGTGCCTGCAACCAAGGTACATGCCCTTGACCAGAATCAAACCTGGCACCTTTCAGTCCACAGGCTGACACTCTATTCACTGAGTCAAACCGGTTTTGGCTCAAATGAGGTTTTGACTTGAATTTGAATCATCACTCTGCCAACTTGATAGTTGTGACCTCAGGCAGACCACTCGCCTCCCTGAGCCTCGGTTTCCTCATTCACTGAATGGGGACAATAAAACATCATATGTTCACTGTGAGCATTACCGTATTTTTCGGACCATAAGACGCACCAGTTTTTAGAGAAGGGAAATGAAGAAAAAAAGATTCTGAAACAAATAGTGTCCTAAAATATTTTATGTGCATTAAAACCCAACATCACAGTCATAAACACATGTAATCAACCCTGTAAAGTAAACAGCAGCATTTAGAACCATTTTAGAGCCGGGCAAGCACACAGAGACCACACAGAGCCGGGCAAGTAAAAAAACTTTTTTTTTAAAGTATATGTGTAGGCTATATTTGGACCATAAGACGCAGGGACTTTCCCCCCCCCACTTCTGGGGGGGAAAAAGTGCGTCTTATGGTCCGAAAAATGCGGTAAATGAGATAGCCAAGCGCCTGGATATAATAAATGCTACATAAATGTTAGCTATTACTATTTATTTTTTAAGCCGTCCCTTCATTTTAGAAACATAAAAATAGAAGTAGGGGGAGTGTAGTTTACGGTGAGAGAAATACATGATATTCCAGGTTGCCGGGGAGAAAGGTTGACTGAGTAATAATCCTGCTTCTGCTTTCACCTTTGCTGGTTTACCCCGAAGGCAGCAGTGCCCTCAAGATGTACCAGGGAGTCTCAGGCCCGCCCGCGCTGGTTCCGTTCCCATAGCTCCAGAGGTTCTCAGAACTTAGATGAGCACATCTGTTTTCAAAAAAATTGTGTCCTTTCTAGCCTGGGTCACCGTGGTGGGGTTGCCATGAGTCTGTCTTCTGCAGCATTGCCTGGCACCGCCAGTCTAGACTGTGGGAACCAGCAGTGTGCCAATGGCTGCGCCCTGTGTCCCGGGGCTGGGGGGCAACCAGGCACCAATGGTGACGAAGCTGCAGCTGCGAGCATGTCCCCTCTGCATGAGAGCACATGTCGCTCTGCCGTTCAATTTTGTTTTTAAAAAATAAAGGATCGCTTTATCCTTTCATTTTATTCCCCTTGTTTCCCTTTGCTTTTTAGTTATTACATATTGATGATCAGAACTCCCCCCTCCTCCCCCATATTAAAAATGTCTAGTGTATGACAGTGTTTTCATTGGAAAGTCCCTCGGAGTCTGAGACGGAGGGGGCCCTGTTGGCAGCTGTCACAGCAGGAGAGTAGTCTGCTTCTCCTGTCACGGTGCCCTGGGCGAGCTGTGGGAAGGTCACCAGGTAGCCTGATGCCAGAGAGCTGGAGTCCTGCCCACCTCGTTGCTGGATGCATGGGAGCTCCTCACCTCAGGCCCTGACCCAGCCCCGAGCCCAGGGTGCACAGGATGTACCAGCCGCTCTCTCCATTAGATCGGGGGTAACAGAAATAAGTCAAGGGTAGATCAACAGCATGAATAACAACAAGACAAAGCAAACTTCTCCAAGCATCGTGTTTGTGGTTTACTTGAACTAATCGTGGCTGCAGACCAAAGCGGGTGGGAGGTATCCCACAAGGCAAGGCAGGATTGCATATATCCGTTCAACATCAAAGAGAATGTAAGAATGCATGTTTTGCCTGCCTTTTTTGATGTTTCCTTATTTCTCATCGTATCCCTACTGCCACCAGGAAATTTGCATTTCTTATAAACGACTTTATAGGCATTTCCAAGTCATTGCACAGACTGAAAGAGAAAAACTGTTTGTGAAATCAAAGTATTTTATAAGCTTTGAAGTATAAGGAAGAGGCTACTTTTGTTATTAATGAATTTATTGCTTGTGCCTTTTTTTTTTTTCAAGGAAAAGGAGACTGGAAGAAGAAAAATAAGTATTTCTGGCAGAACTTCCGAAAGAACCAGAAAGGAATAATGAGGCAGACTTCAAAAGGTGCGGAAACAGCCGGCGGACAGTAGGGCCTTTTAGCTCTCGAGTGTTCAGCAGCCTGTGCCTCTGATCTGGACTGTTGCTGCAAGTTAGCATTACTTATCGCCCGTGCCCCGGGAATGTTCAGCTCTCTGGCATTCCTATCTTTTAAAACTTCTTTCCACTGGAATTAAAAAAAAAAATTTTTTTTTTATCAAAGAAAACAGAATGGGAAGAGTTAGCAAGCTTTAAACATACACACACACACACACACACACACACAAAACACACACACACACACACAAAAACACAGATCTGAGGGCAAAGACCAAATTTCCCATTTTCTGCGGGCAGAGGTCTACCCAGAAGAGTCTAGCATTTGTTAGTTTGGGGCCTCCCCTGTGCCCCGCTGCTCGGGGCCTTAGCAGTCTTCTGAACTTTGGATGCCGGTCTGTGGCTGGGACCGTGACTGGGTTGTTGCCCTGGAAACTCTATCTGAGGGTCTGACATCATGGGAATTTGCCCAGGCTGCTTGCGGAGGGAGCCCTGCCCGCCTCCTGGCTGGGCCTTTGTTGTTGTTTATGCAGTAAGTAAACATGTCATTCCTTTGAGGCTCGCTTACATAATGGATGCTTCCCCGGCATAATGGATGCTTCCCCTGCCTCCAGAGGGGAATGGGAACAGAGCTGCTCCCAGACGCCGGTCCCACTAAGGAAGGTCAGCATTAGAGGAGCATTTTTACCGGCTCCCCAATGCTATTACTTGGTGTTGTTTTTTTTTTGCGACATCTTGGTGTCCAGCCCTGTTGTTCTCAGGGTTTTCCGCTTTTTCACACACGTAGAAACGAGGAAAGCGGACCCAGACAGTGTGCCTGCCAGTCGCACACCTGGCTTTGTTGGCTGCCTCCGTGGGGCTTGGTTTTAAAGGTGTCCTGCGTACGGAGGGTTATTCTTAAACACTCAGATTTCCCTCTGGTACACACCCAGGGTCACATGTGATTCAAAGGAAACCTTGGGTTCAAACAGAGTTTTATTTAAGAAGAAGGAAAAGGAGAAGGAGCAAGAAAGACGGGGCTGGAGGGCTGAAGGGAAGGAGCGGGCAGTTAACCAGCTCGAGGAGATTTATTTTCAGAGCCAGCCAACTGGCTGTCACCCCCTCCACCCCTGGAGGCGACAGAGATAGTCAAATGAATCAAGCCGGCAGGCTTTTCTGCTCGCCCAGACACTCTATTATCCTCCCCCTGCACGGGGGACGAGTGGCCTAGGGAACGTGAGTGCTGTTTCTGGACTGATGGATTTCGGAATGGAATGAGAGAGGGAGACACAGGGGAGCATAAATTCAGGGGCAGGTCCTGACGGGAGGATCCTACAAGTGTGCAGCCAGCCTCTCCGCCCTGCCCCTTCCACCAAGGGCAAATTCAGCCGTAGGAGCCTCCTAATGACTCCAGGCTAGTGAGGTATGTGAGGGGCAGACGGAGAAAGATGAGGGCTTAGATGGAGGGCTGATTCCCAGGGTGCCTCTTCTACTGCCACTTCTTCACCACGCGCTGACCAGGGGTACACGTGCTAACATGGCTCACAGGTAGCAGAGGCGCCGGCAGTCTGTGTACTTCGTAGGAGAACATGCTCCAAGTAACCGAATGGTGGTTTTCCTCTGAAGTGCTGGCTGCCTTCAGCTTCCAGGTGGCAGTTGAGTCCCCCTCACAGTTTGGGAATGCTTATGCCAATAACACTCTCAGATGTGTACACACATGGTACCTTTTTTCCGTAGACCCCAGAACGCTTCCCATCCGTGGTTTGACTTATTGTGCTGATTTTTCGAGGAATAGCCATCAGTTAGCTTAGCAGGAGTCTAGGGTTTCTCAGGCAGCTGGCTCTGTGACCTTTCTCTGTCACAGCAGAGGGTTCTCTCCCACTTTTCCCCAAAATATTTTCATCTCGATCATATTCAAAATGAGTGGACTCAGGGAACTCTCAGCCGAAGGAGCCGAGGATGCTTGTCTGCGAGAGCTCTTTAAATTCGGTCTCTGCCCACTTCTTACTCCCTGTGGGCTTCCTCCCCAAACTCCTTCACGAGAGCCCGCGTCACAAATGCTCCGGCTTGTTTCATGGTAACATCCATAAGTCCTTGGTGCCTGTTTCCCAATGAGAAGGGCTCCGTGGCGTCCTACAGAGCAGCCCCTGACTGCTCCTGCTGCTCCGTCAGTGATGGACATCACTGGCCGTGCCCATAGGCAGCCCTAGTCCTGGGTGAGATGTTCTCAGGCTTGGTATTCTGATGACCTTTCTTGTCTTCATTCCTATTGTCTTTTATCTCCAACCTCTAGGAGAAGATGTGGGCTATGTTGCAAGCGAGATAACAATGAGCGATGAGGAACGAATTCAGCTGATGATGATGGTCAAGGAGAAGATGATCACCATTGAGGAGGCACTGGCCAGGGTAAGGCTGCAGGGATTTGTGTGAGGGGGGCCTCCTCAGACTTAGAAAGGTTGGTGTACTTTAAATAACACAATTTCCGGGTGCTAATTTTAAGAGTGCACATAGCTCTTTGCAGATGAATTTAGGGTATTCAAATCTTGGACTAGTTCCAGAAGGCTTAAAAGCCCATAAGATATTTGGAAACCTCAGTTTATTCATTGATCTGGGTAGTTTTGTGGTGTGTGAATGAGTAAGGAATAAACTCACTTTAAAGCTTTGGGTGAAAGAGAACATGATTATTTCGGTGTGATGGTACCAGCAATGATTGTAGAGAAATATGTTCATTGACATTTTAATGGGGAGAACTGTCTGTAGGAAATAGATCTGTGACCATGATTTAATAATCGTATTTTCTAAAAAATAATATAATACTAAAGATTGCTCATGTGACTTGATCCAGTGACTAAATATTACATAGTTATCTATCTGATAAATGAGTCTGATAAATATGTGTCCACAAGGTCACATCAGTGTGAGAGTTCAAAATAAAGTTCTTAAGGTATTTTGTTTTTTAAAAAAAGAGTCCTTGAGTTCTGTTGGTGTTGCACAGTGGTTAAGCGTCAACCCATGAACCAGGAGGTCACGGTTCAATTCCTGGTCAGGCACATACCCTGAGTTACAGGCTCAATCCCGTTTAGGGAGCATGCAGGAGGGAGCATGCAGGAGGCAGCCTATCAATGATTCTCTTTCATTATTGATTTGTCTCTCTTTCCCCCGCTTCCTTCCTCTCTCTGAAATCAATAAACAAATATTTAGAAGAAGAAAAAAGTCCTTGATGTTTATTGCTAACTTGACTGATGTTTTGGCATTGTGAACTTTTCTTAATGCCAGTGTCTTACATCAAGTTCCTAGAATCAAAGCCTGAGATGATTTATTGAAAGGTAGCTTTCAGGAGAAACTTCTAAGTGCTGAGAGAGGGAAGCAGGAGAGGGAAGCAGCGATAGAAGCTGGACAGAGAAGGGAGTTCAGGAGAAGTCTAGCCTCAGCCCGATTCCTTAGGGAGCGGGGAGCCCTGGGAGGTGAATTACGTAAGAGAACTTGTCCTGGGTGAGAAAAAGAGGTTACAGACTGAGGGGGAGCAGGGAGCAGGGAGCAGTCAGCAGTCTCCTCAGCATCTCTGAGGAACTGCTCCTCGTGGGGAGACAACCACACATGGAGCCTGCCCCAGAGTAGGGATAGGTGAGTGGCTTTGTAAGGGGAGTCTGGGCACCTGGAATGCCAGAAAACCACATGATGAACTGGGAACCTGTGTATGTTTCTGAGTTATTTTCTTGTAGCAGCTATTGGAGCATCCGTCACAGTGATTCTGACAATTAGAGAGGCTTATGGAGAGCAACAAAGTGATTGAGGCTTTCTTCTAACAGATCCCGGGGGTGAAACGGGAAATCTCAGAGAAGAAGCAGAAAAGAGTTTAATCACTTTTCTCAAGTATAGGAGGGATTATTAAATAGTACATCTTCAGGATGCACTGAAGAGTGTTTTATTTTCCTTTAATCTCAACTGAGGGCAGAATAAAAGGAAATGAGTTAAAATTGCAGCTGGAGGGGATTTGGAGGAGATATAATACAAATGTTCTTTCCAATAAGCACTCTTAGAAATGGGAACATTTTAGAATATCTCTCCCTACAGGTCTTTAAGACAGAATAAGCATTACTCTACTTAAGATGGCCATTCCCTCTAAGAATTGTGGCACAGACTTCCAAGTAGAAAACTAAAGACTAGGGAAAATAGGATGTAAGAGAGTATATTCTCAGAGAGACAGACAGACACACACACATACACACACACACACAACACACACTTTAAAGTGTCATTATTTTAAAAATTCTGGAAATTAAACTAACAATTTTTAAATTTTATTATATATATATTTATATATATATATATTCTCAAATGAAATGATCAGTTGTTTTTCCTTCATTAAATTATATTTAAGTCAACACTTCTTAAGGAGCAAAGTAGAATATAAAAATATAATTATAAATAAAACCAGGTGGGGTTTTTTCCTATAAAATGTACTTTAAAAATTTTAGAGATTGTATTTTGTAACAGAATTACTAATAAAACACATAACCTGTTGAAATGAGGAAAACTATAAAAATAAGTGGCCAGTGTGGAATCTATATTAGAAGAAATACAGGTACTCTTGGGCCCCAAAGTTAAATGATAGTAGAAGAAAAATATTAATTCTGTTTATGATTGACTCATTAGGAATTTGTCTTGTTTTTAAAGATTAAGTTTATTTAGTGGCTCCTAGGAGTCTGGGCTAAGGCTGAGTATAAGAGTAGAGCATAAGTCCTGGCCAGTGTGTTCAGTGGTTAGAGCGACAGTCACGCACCAAAGGGTCACTGGTTTGATTCCTGGTCAGGGGCATGTACCCAAATTGTGGGTTTGCTCCCCACCCTGGGTTGAGGCATGTGTGGGAAGAAACCAATTGATGTGTCTCTCACATCGATGTTTTTCTCTGTCTCTCCCTCTCTTTCTCCCTCCGTCTCTTCTATTTTCTCTTAAAAGCAATAAAAACATACCCTTGGCTGAGGGTTACAAAAAAGAAAAGAAAAGTAGAACATAGACCTGGAGTAAACAAGTGATAAGCCCGGTTACTCAGGTGACTGCTATCCAGATAAGACAGTGAGAAGTCGGCATTGCAGAAACCAGTATATCCAGTATTCTGGTACATAATGTAAACATTCTACAGAGATTAGAACAATACTAACGCAATGCCCTAAAGTACTAGAAAGGTTAAACTGAGATGAGTGCCCCTGATAGCAAAAGTGCAAATACCTGGAGTCAAGGTGAGCTCTCCTTTAGCTGAGACCTCGGGGTGATAACAATGCTGTGGTAATACACCTCTTGCATAGGAGCCATATACTAAGAGCTTCGTTGTCTTTTCTTAATTCTGGTAGAGTCCTGTGTGATGGACTTATTGTCGTGCCCATTTTCCTGATGGGAGAACTGAGGCACAGCTCTCAGCAGCTAAGCTCTTGCTCCTGCCTCCACCTGGTTCAGCTCCTGTCACATGTGCCCACATAAAGCATTTCATAGCAGAGGCGAAGCTTTGGAAAGCAGCTGGAGGGACATTGTTCGTTTGGTGGCTTTGCCATGCCCACAGAACCCCAGTGGTTGAGGGCAGTGTGACACCATATCCTGGGCTGTCAGGTCAGAGGTTTCCATTGCTGGGAGGCTTTATTCATGGAACAAGATTTGATCAGTTCCTTACATTCATATATAAAAACTGCTTTAGAGTAAAATTTTAATGCAGAGATGGTTTCATGGTAGTATGTAGCAGAGTTAAATTCCTATGTGTTTTATGAAAAACACACGTAGAACTTTTCACATTTGCCAATTTTCTATACTATTTCACTTGTCTTTTTGTGTTTTTCAAAAAAGTAGTTTCTAAACGTCAACTTTCAATGTCTCTGCACATAATGTAGATCCGTTGTTCTTTTCCTGTCATCCACCAGGGTCCCCAGTAAATCCCATTGTATTTATTAACATTGAACTGGGCACTTAAAACAATCTAGAACAAGAAGAGCAAATGATTTTAAAATAACTGTTTCAGGCCTTTTCCGCTTTTGTTCAAATGTTCATAGTCTGCTGTATCTTGTCTTCTACAAAGAGAGGTAATCCAGAGCGGGAACGCAAACAAATTTTGCTATAAAACTTGCATTGAACTGTGAGAGATGAGTTTTGATGTCAGAGGGAGGACATCGAGGTTCTTTTTGGAATACAGAATACAAAGAGTCACTGTGTCTGTTGCTTTATATTAGATGAAAAGCCACAGGGCAGGGCGTGGGTCTTTCTTTTGGTTTTGTGAAGCTGGCCTTTGGCTGGCTGGCACTTTATCACCTCTAGTGGCATGAAGAAGGTGCCACAGTGTTCTCTCTGCTGCTTGGTAGACAGTTGTTGGCGATTATTTCCATTTCAACCTTCTTTTTCCTCTCTTGGCAGCTCAAGGAGTACGAGGCCCAGCACCGGCAGTCAACTGCCTTGGACCCCGCCGACTGGCCGGAAGGCTCTTACCCCACATTTGATGGCTCATCAAACTGCAATGTAAGTTCGCTTTCTCTTTGAGCATCCCGACCATTTCTAGTAAAAAGGGATAGCCTGTGCAATTTCAGCCTTGCATTTACTTCTAGCAATTAACTTCCACCAGGATCTGAAAAGGAGCGGATCTTCCTACATGTTAACTCAGTATTCTTTACCCCATAGAAACTCACCTAGTCAGAATTGGACTATTTCTGCTGTGTTTTTGTTCTTTTTTCTAATTGTAGTAACGTATACATAATTTATAATTTTTAATTTGTAATTTAATTTATAATTAAAAACACTTACATTTTTAAGTGTTTGTTTCAGTAGCATTATTGTATTCACGTTGCTGTGCAACCATCACCACAGTCCACTTCCAGAGCTTGTTCATCATCTAAAATAGAAATCCCATAACCATTAAATAATTACTTCCTCTCCTCTTCTGCTCCCCACAGCCCCTGGGAACCGCCATTCCACTTTCAGTCTCTGAATGTGACTATTCTAGGTATCTCACATAAGTGGAATGATAAAATATTCGACCTTTTGGGTCTGGTTGATTTCACTTAGCACAGTGTTTGCAAGGTTAATTTATGCTGCAACATATACTTCATTCCTTTTGATGGATGAATAAGTGGAATATTGATTCTGCTGTACATAAAAACTGCATTTTGTTTATTCATTCATCTGTTTAGATAGACACTTGGGGGTTTCCACTTTTTGGCTATTGTGAATAATGCTGCTCTGATCATTGGTATGCAAGTATCTGAGTTTTCTGTCAGTTCCTTTGGGTATATATGTAGGATTGGAATTTCGGAATCAGAAGCTAGTTTTGTATTTAACTATTTTGAGGAACCTCCATACTGTTTTCTATAGGACTAGCATTTTACATTCTTGGCAGTAATGCGTGAAATCTTCTCCTTTTCCCTATTTTAGGATAATAGTCATCCAGTGGTTTGTGAACTAGTATCTCATTGACATTTTGATTTTCATTTCTCTAATGACTCAGAGGTTGGTTATTGTTTTGTGTGTTTGTTGGCCATTTGTATATCCTTGGAGGAATGTCTATTCAAGTTCTCTGTCCATTCTTGAATTGGGTTTTATTTTGTTGTTGGTTGTTAAGTTGTGGCACTTCTTGATGTATTCTGGGTGTTAAGCTATTACTGGATACACGATTTGTAAATATTTTCTTGCATTCTGTGGGTTGCCTTTTCATAGTCTAATTTGTATTTTTCTTTTGTTGCCAGAACTTTAGTATCATATCCAAGAAATCATTGCCAAGTTTAATGTCATGAAGAGTTTCATTTAAGAGTTTTATAGTTTTAGCTCTTGAAGTTTAGTTCTTTGCCCCATATTTGGGTAATGTTTGCATATGATGTAACACGGGTCCAGCTTTGTCCTTTTGCAGGTAGATTCCCAGTTTTCCTGAACCATTTTTAATTTTAATTTTTTACTGATTTCAGAGAGAAAGGGAGAAGTAGAGAAGTTGCACGCCCCCTACTGGGGATCGAGCCTGCAACTCAGGCATGTACCCTTACTAGGAATGGAGCTACGACCTTCTGGTTCATAGGTAGATGTTCATCCACAGAGCCACACCGGCCGGGCCTGAACCATTTTTTAAAGAAAAGACTCTCCTTTCCCCCATTAAATGGTCTTGGTACCCTTTTTGAAAATTTATTGACTGTATATGCAAGGATTTATTTCTGGGATTTCTATTTATTCAATTGGTTTATGTGTCTTACTGTTGCTAGTGTCTGTTTTTGATTAATGTAGATTTATATGAAGTTTTGAATTTGGAAATTGTGAGTCCTTCAACTTAGTTACTTTTTTTTTTCCAGATTGTTTTGGCTGTTCCATGTGAATTTTAGGATGAGTTTTTCTATTTCTGCAAAAAAAAAAAAAAAAAAAAAATCTCATGGGATTTTAATAGGGATTGCATTGGATCTGTATATTGATTTTGGTGGTATTGTCATCTTAACAATATGAAGTCTACTAATCCATGAACACAGGATATCTTTTTTTATTTATGTTTTCTTCAATGTCTTTTTAACAATTTTTGTAGTTTTCAGTCTTGCCTCCTTTGTTAACTTTATTCCTAAGTGTTTTATTATTTTGATGTTATTATAAGTGAATTTTTTTATTTCCTTTTTAAATTGTTCATTGCTGCTGTATAAAAATGAAACTAGTTTTGTATCCTGAAAACTGATATTGCTTTTATATTCTGCAACTTGGCTAAGTTAACATTATTTATTTGTTTGTTTGTTTGTTTGTTTGGTGTATGTGTGGAATCTTGGGGGCTTTCTACAGATAAGATTATGTCATCTATGAGAAGAGACAATTTTAATTTTTTTTTAAATATTTTTTTATTGATTTCAGAGAGGAAGGGAGAGGTAGAGAGAGATAGAAACATCAATGATAAGAATCATTGATTGGATGTCTCTTGCACACCCCCTACTGGAGATGGAGCCCGCAACCCAGGCATGTGCCTTTGCCCAGAGTCGAATCTGGGACCCTTCAATCTGCAGGCAGACACTCTAGCCACTGAGCCAAATTACTTAGGGCGAGAATTTTGCTTTTCATTTTCCATTTTGGTGGATGTCTTTTTATTATTTTGTGGATGTCTTTTATTAATGTAACCAAAACAGTGCCCCTTAAACTACAAGTTCCACAGGGATTTTAGGAATTAAAATTTCAGTGTTTCAAGTCTACATTTCATGGTGCCATCATCAAACTGTCAAGTCTTCTATTATGGACTAGTTTTGTTTGTTAGGGCATCTTTTTCTTAATATCTGGAAGCAACTCTATCATCACATAGTCAGCCTCTTTCTTCTATCTATGCTCCATACAGCCAGTCATATTTCTAAAATATACCTTTGTCCTTGCAAGCCTGCGTTTTTAAAAAGCCCGATTGTTTCCTGGTTCGGTCAGATACATTCCAAAGTTTTTGGATGTGATCTTGCTTTAAATCAACTTCTCCATTCTTGTCTGTCATCTCCTCTCCCAGTAGTCTCCATTCCAGCCACATTGGACCCTGCTTGCGTTACTGAACACAGCTTGTATTTTCACGCTTTCTGTTTTTGTTTAGGCAGTTTCCTTGGCCTAAAATGTATTCCTTCAAATTGCAGGTGAAAATCTATGCATCCTGCAAAGTGAAGCCAAACTGCCTATGAGAATTCTTTTAACCTCTTCATGTAGAGTTGATTGCCTCCTAGTCTGTGCATTTGCAAAACCAGCTTTGAACATGAAGTCTAAAGTTATACTGGAGTACCAGAATCCTTTGTTACATATTCCCACCTCCTGGGACATTGTGGGCTTCTTGAGCAGGAAAGGCATGCTGTGTTATTGTGTCTCCAGTTAGTGCTAGCTTCATGTCCAGCACACGCTGTGTGTTTGAAAAAAGTTTAGGGAACAAAGTTGTATTTGAATGTTTATGCTTCCTGGCTGTTTTGGAGCATGTTTTATGTTTTGCAACTTCAGACTCAGTCTTTGCCCTTGTTTGCAACTAAGCAACAAATGATGGCTTATCAGAAGTAAATAGAACCCTCCGGCTACCTTATTTTCACGATTTCTAGAATCCAGTACCAGATTTCCTTTGCAGCTAAGAAAAATCCCCAGAAGATTATTAATTTGGAAGCCTTTCCTGGGTTGCTCTCGTGTGAAACAGACTGAGATGTTGCTATTTATGATAATAAATGTGTTATGCGCTGGCCAGCAGCATGTCCTGGGACTATGAGGTAATCAAAAGGGCCATGGCCATGGTTTGCAGTGTGCCTTTTTGGGTCTCTTATCCCCAACTCCTAAATCTAACATACTAAAAAATATAAATCATGAACCTAAGGAATCATGAAGAATAAACAGTAACTCAGGACTGATGGGAGTCAAACCTAATTCGGGGAAGAACACAAAGACCTGGTTGTCCTAGTAGGTCCTTTAGTGAGACTCACTGTACACTGTTTTGATTAATAGCATCTGAGTCAAGGGAGGGGCAAAAAGACTGTCTATTCAGAGAGCCAGGACTATTGTAACACCCACACACTGAGGCAGCACATATATATGTATATCCTATCTAATCTAATAAAAGAAATATGCAAATTGACTATACCTCTTCTATGCCCACAAGCCACGCCCACCAGCCAATCAGGAGTGAATATGCAAATTAACCCAACCAAAATGTTGCCAGACACAGAGCTGGAGCAAGCAGGAGGCTTGGGTTGTCGCTGGTGATAGAGGAAGCCAAGCTTCACTCCACCCTGGCCTGCCCTGACCTCCGCTCAAGGCTACAAAGTTTCAATTATAGAAGATAAATAAATCCCAGATACCTGCTTCCAGCTTATACTTGGGTCATGGTGGGGGGCATGGCTGGTCTGCAAATCACCATAGGCCCCTCACCCAGGCCGCCGTACGCCCCAAAGGAACCCCCATCCTGATCTTGTTCACCCTTCAGAGCAAACCAGCCAGCCCCTATCCATGCACCAGGCCTCTATACTATATAATAAAAGAGTAATATGCAAATTGACACTCCAACACACAAGATGGCTGCCCCCATGTGGTCAAAGATGGATGCCCCCATGTGGGCATAAGATGGCTGTTACAAGATGGCCAGCAGGGGAGGGCAGTTGGGAGGGACCAGGCCTGCAAGGGAGGGCAGTTGGGGGCAATTAAGCCTGTAGGGGAGATCAGTTGGGAGGGAACCAGGCCTGTAGGACAGGGCAGTTAGGGGTGACTAGGCCTGCAGGGGAGGGCAGTTGTGGGAAACCAGGCCTGCAGGGGAGGTCAGTTTGGGAGGTCAGTTTGGGGAGAACCAGACCGGCAAGTGAGAACAGTTAGGGGCAATGAGGCTGGCAGAGGAGGGCAGTTAGGGGTTACTGGGTTGGCAGGGGAGGGCAGTTAGGGGCAAATAGGCTGGCATTGAAGCAGTTAGGCATCAATCAGGCTGACAGGGAGTGATTAGGGGGTGATCAGGCGGGCAGGGAGAAGTGGTTAGGGGCAATCAGGAAGGCAGGCAGGCAAGCATTTGGAAGCCAGCA